CTAGGTAAATATTGTTATTATATGTGAATGATCGTCTTTGTATAATTTTAACTCAATAATACGAAAATTCTTTTACCATTATCTTCACCTGGAAAAGTAAGTTGAGTTTATGGACGAAAAGTGAAACTTTATGCACTTAAAATCACAAATCATGCTTGAACTTCAAAGAAAAATCTTATGTTTGAGAAAAATAAACCTCCTGAAAACTTCTGTTTTTTTTTTACAAAAATCTCCTGATTTTCAAAATTTGAATTTGGCAACCATGGTTTATATACATAATCTATCATAGAAAATTTATTTTTCTCAATTTGATAGAATAGTAAATTAAATGATGATTAATACTTTAGCTACTGCAATTCATAGTAGTAATCTCTTAAACTGATTTTGAAAGACAGCGAATGTTCAAATGGTGATGTTATTTTGTTTTTTATTGACAGAATAGTTGAAGATATATATTTATCCGATATTTTTAAAGGAAATTTTCAATCTTGATGAAATATTTTCAGGGATCACAGATGCAGTAAGTTTATGTGATTGATATTAGGTATATATCTTGTTCTGTTAATTTAATAATTTAATAAAAATATCTGTTTAAAGCTTGAGATAACCTTCGTTTTACTAGTGTAGCAACTATTCATGAATGTAGAAAATATGTTGAAAATGGTTCTGCGTTGGAAAAACGTTTTCAACAAATAACGGTTAATAAATCATCTAGTGCTGATTTTGTTTCAATTGCAGATGATCTTAAAGCCTGTTATGAATGATATTTTCGTCGTATGACTGATTCCGTTCATTTTTCTAGATTTTTTTAAAAGGTTCTTTTTTTATTTAGAGTACATTTGTAGTGCAGTTTTGGTTACTGGTACTTAATTATCTAATTGTTAAATAGCAAAGCTTTTCCAAGTGATAAAGCTATGGTAAGTATTCGTCAAACATAAAAATACACAGATCATGAGAAAGTATTTCTACTCTTGCAAACGTTAGTCTTGCACCAGTGCTTTTCAATATCCAGATAAGCAAATATCTTCTAATGACTAATACAGTGGTAACTAGAATCTGTAATGATCCAGTAGGTTTCACTAGGATTGCGATGACTTTCTTTATCTTCAAATTTTCATGTTGAAATTATGGTGGAGTTTCATAGACAACAATGAATTCGAATACTTTTTAACGAATCTCATCAGATTTAAATGAATATTCTTTGATTTTGAATAACTTTCAACATATTCTGATACAGTCGGAGGAATATACTTTAGGATCAATCAGAATTTATTACGAATCGTTAGGTTCTCAAGATTCAAAATCTACGTTTTCTCATTTCGTTTATGATGGACATATTTCGAAATATTGTTAAGTAAGCAAAATCAGTACTCTGCCAAATGCATGATTGATCCACATGTTCTATCGTATTCTAAAGTGATAACCGAAAAAGAATGAGAAAGAGAAATGAAAAGAAAAGAAACACGCAAGCAAGAATGTATTGGAACATATAGATTGTGAATTATTTGAATATTCTCCAAGAAAGAAAGACAAGTATAGAATTATCGAAAAAGAAAAAAATAAAGAATATTTGTCAGTATATAAAAGAAGAGAAGTGAAACGTACGATCGCACAAGGCATTTCAGTTGACTAGACATAATGTATTCTCCTCTTATTACTATATATTTATTCTAACAATGTGTTTAGATATATATCAAATCTTTCTTTTTTAGATTCATCGAAACCGATGGTTTTTAACTGCTGTAAATCGTGCATATGTACTTAAATAAATGAGATAATGTCTAGTCTCATTTCATAACTTTTGTTTTTTGTATGCAGGGTGGTATTCAATCACGATTTATTAATATTTATAATATGTTACGGGTATACACATTAGGCTTTTATGCCGACAGTCATCAAGTTATTCAAGATATTCTTAGAGCTAGCAATGATACATTTAATCAAGGTCAATTTTTTTGGTCAGTACTGGTAATGTTGTTAATTGGTCTTGTCATGATCTTATTCACCACACGACATACTCTTATATTATTGTAAGTTATTTTAATTCTTTAAAATATATCATTTTATTTTGATACATATAGTGATGTTCACAGAAGTAATAAATCCGGATGGTGTATTCAAAATTATCACAAGATATCTAATAAATAGACCATCAAGAAAATCAATGATGCGGTATATACATTTTATTTACATTTGTTTTTTTCTTGAATTCTTTTTTTTGTTATAGTATTCATAGAAGAATTAAAATTGAAGAGTTGGTCGATGTTCATACTGTAAGGATGGTATTAGTTTATTTTGGTATAATACTACTATTTACTGGTTTTTCATTCTATGTAAGATTATATTTTAATCCGAACTTCTTCATTACATTTTATTTCTAGATGTATCCAAATTATTCACGGAGACGTAATGCAACACGTGAACGAAAACTAAAACTTTCAAAATTACATAGAATAACATTTAGTACAGAGGCTTCCTTGGAAATCTGTGCTGTTTGTCGAAAACAATATAGTTCGGATGAGCAAATATATAAGTTTCCATGTTGTCATGGTTAGTTTTTTAACTATAATAGTACCTATTCTTTCCTTATTAATGATATGATTTCTTCTAGTTTTGCATATGCATTGTACTGATACTTGGGTAGTAAATGATCGTCAACCATGTTCTCTATGTCGATGTGATCTGTTTTTGACTCAATATCCACTAGATGAAGGAAGTGATGGTATTCCCAGGTCCATCGTTCCGGCCACCGGATATTGCAGGAACCGGCAAGAAAATGCGGGAAAACCCACCGTATCCTGCAGGGAAACACCGGAAATAGCCGGAATATGGAAGCAGCATTCCTGCCGGAAATTCTCTGGATTTTTTCCGGTGAATTCCGACCAATTTCCTGTGTTTTCCAGCAGGAACCGAGCGAAAAATTGTCGGAAAAATTCCGGAAATTTCAGGCCGGAATACTGCTTCCATGTTCCGGCTGTTTTCCTGCCGGAACCGGCCGGTACTTTTCGACCTGGGTTGTTGAACTTGCATACCCTTGTTCTTCATAAATATTTCTATTCTAGAATGTCGAACTGATTCATACGGTACTAATGTATGTGATGATACTCTATTCATGTATCATCTGGTCTTGATGATAATGATGATGGTGAAGATGTATCCATATTATCAAGACAATTAACAGTAAACCGTTTAACTACAATTGATCTTGTATTTGATCAATCAGAAACAAAAAAAGCAACATCATAGAATATATAAAAAATATATAAATAGATCAACCATTGATCCATTCTTTAGTTTTACTAAATATAGTAGAAACTTTTTATAATTTAATTTTAAATTTTAAAAAAAGAAAAAAGAAAATATAAGACGATGACAATAGATCAGTCAAATGTTCTATTTGTTTTTGTTGAATTTTCGGACATAATAGAGTCCATCATCGGAACAAGATTGTGCTATAATTTCATGTGATGTTGTACCATTTTTGTAAATCATAGATAATACAAAATAAAATCAAATGATGGTCAAAATTGTGCTATAGTTTCATGTGATGTTGTACCATTTTTTTTTTGTAAATCATAGATAATACAAAATAAAATAAAATCGAATGATGGTCCAACTGTAGAATTTGTTGGTGTTGAATTTAATAAATTGATCACAAGTTGTTGATTTTATTGGACGAAATATAACTTGAAAATTATTTTAATTTTAAATTTTAAATGTTCATCATTGATTGTCATTTGTTGGTGATATTATCTATGGTCGTGGTAAATGGTTGTGTTCTATCTATGGTCTTGGTAAATGGTTTTATATTATCTATGGTCGCGGTAAATGGTTCTCGAACATCATCAGTATCACCAACAAATGACAATCAATGATGAACATTTAAAATTTAAAATTAAAATAATTTTCAAGTTATATTTCGTCCAATAAAATCAACAACTTGTGATCAATTTATTAAATTCAACACCAACAAATTCTACAGTTGGACCATCATTCGATTTTATTTTATTTTGTATTATCTATGATTTACAAAAAATGGTACAACATCACATGAAACTATAGCACAATTTTGACCATCATTTGATTTTATTTTGTATTATCTATGATTTACAAAAATGGTACAACATCACATGAAATTATAGCACAATCTTGTTCCGATGATGGACTCTATTATGTCCGAAAATTCAACAAAAACAAATAGAACATTTGACTGATCTATTAAGCCTTCCAAAGATTCGCTCATAACTCCTAAACTATGAGTCCTACGAAAATTCGGACCAAAAATTCTGAAAGAGCATAAAACTCTGAATCTAACCCGTTGTTTGAAACTTTCTACTGACATACTTAACCCTTTCAGAACGGGTGGTACACCGTATGTACCACAGTCATTTGCTCTTAATAGTGAAGTATATTATGTACTGATGACTAACAATGACTGTGTATAATCATTTCTAGTCGTCAATGCATAATATACTTCACTGTTAAAAATATATAACTGTGGTACATACGGTGTATCACATATCGTGAAAGGGTTAATAACAGATATTCAGAGACTAAAGAAGTTTGGATACATCAATTTCAATCTTGCATTCGACATTATCACTAGTTATCGACCATAGTTATATTATTAGAACAGAGGATGTGTGTTTGGCTGATGAGAAGACTTACACTCACACACACAAGTCTGATCATTTTGTGTTCAAGAATTCTTGTGCTCAACTATGGCCAAGCATAGCACTTTTTAGTTGAACAATCCATTGACATATTACAGAATCAAAAGCATATAGTTCATGCTTTACCAAAACAAGGACACATGATAATCATGAATTAATCTCTAATTCTTGACGTATTCCTAGTGGAATATTTTATTTTATTTTTCTAATAAATCATTACAAAAAATGAAAGACATAAAATCAAATAGGAATTTTAATTGTAAAAAAAATAAAGAACGAACGGTATTGCACATACCGAAGATAAATTAAATATCGATAAAATCTTCTTTAATAACGTGATAATCGAAGTGGAAAATCTATCAAAACAAAAAAAAATAATCAGAACAAAATAAAATAAAATTTACTAAAACATACTCTCAGATATCATACGATCATCTTCAAAGACAAGAACAATACTAATTTCAAATTCTACAATATGAAAAATTCTATATTTTAACCATATCTTCTATATTTAAGCAGACATACCAATTTTAAAATTAACCGTTAATAAAGTCGGACATGTAAATGTTCTTGGAAAAAGCATCCAAATTGGAACAGGTATTTTACGAGCAACATTACCATCACCTATTTGAATATTTTGAATTTCTGTTGCTAAAATTAAGACCAAAAAAAATCACTTAAAAAAACAAAAACATCAAAATAAATTTCTACAATCTCGTGAAAATCCTTCTGCACAACCACAGGTTTCCACACGTAAAAGTTGTACTTCAATTGATTTTATTGGTAATTCGCTTTCTTCTACAACTAACTAAATTATAACAAAATATAAAACCAAACTAATATAAATAAATAAAAATAAAAACAAACCTCGCCAGAAAATGGTTTAGTTATAACACAACAAAGACTATCAAGATTACCAGTTATTTTAAATTTTGGTACATCAATTTTCTAGAAAAGAAAAAATAAAAATTTTCTCATAATTTATTTACCCGCCATTGACAACGATCTCAAAAAAAAAGAAAAAACAAACTCTAGTAACAATTTATTAAATACAAAGAAATGTTTACCCACTATTTCATCATTTTACATGGCTTTATTGTAGTTTTCTCGTCGACAAACAATCGTTCATCATTAATCGTTATTATCAATAGTATTAAATCACGACATAAACTTTCATCAAATTCTATGATGATATTTACTACAACTCGAATAACTAATCATAACTGTCATACAGATATTTTATCACAATGGCTACGTCATTCGTCTTCAAATATTAAAGTTCGTTTACATTTAAAATCTAAGAAAAATAAATTATATAAAAATTTTCATACTCATGCAAAATTACATCATTTTATCAATGATATTTATAATCAATTTTCTAATACACATCATCAAATTAAGAAAAATAATGTCTTTAAACCATCTATGTATTCGAAAAAATTATTACAAACATCAATCAAAAAGAAAAATCGAACACAACATTCACTAGAAACGAATCTCATAAATAGTCAAACAATTGATCAGACGAGTTCAATTCCAACAAATATTAATCGAATAATTAATACTTCAGACAGTAACAATAAGAAAAATCGTACACGAATACGACGTAATTTCTTACGAGAGAATAACTTCAATGATGAATATGATGCAAATGTTTATGATAATGATGATCGAATTTACTTCAGAAATCGACAAGAAGATATTGCTGAACAAAAACCAAGTTTCGATGGAGAATATTATTTACCAGTTTCGACAAAATTTAAAATGAGTAAGTTATACTAAAAAGCATTGCATCTTGTTGTTTAGGAGATAACAATGGATTATATGAAGACGAAATCGATCAAATCGATCATGCTCATAATGAAGAAGAACGCAATGCAAATAAAAGATTTATGCAGGTGTGTGCATTCTCCATTAATACTAACAGTATGTTAGGGATTTATAATCATTAAATAAATACACATTTCTATTTTCTTTGTTTTAGAATGATGAAAAATTAATAAATCCTGATCGATTATCAAATGATGTTAATCTTGATTTAAATGATAATAATTATCGACAATATTTTAAAAATAATCATAATAGAAAAAAATTTTATGAAAAAAATTTTAATGATTATAATTATAAATTAGATAGACAACGAAATAATAGTGAAAGAAAATATCTCAAAAATGATTATTTAGATAAACAAGATCAACTTGAAAATGAAGAATAAATTTAAAATACATACATTTTGAATAGTTTTTATTGATTCTGATGTAACTTCAAAAGCAGCTGGTTTTGTTATAGCTTTCTCAGCAGCTAAATCATGTTCAGGACCATATTCAATATTGAATTCAATCTGTTTACTCATATCTTTTGAAAGAAATGTTCGTTTAACATCAACACGAAGAAAATACTAAGAGAGAAAATAATAAAAGATAATAAATATATTTAATTTTTTTAATTTTTACTTGAATATTAACAAAAACTCCATGATATGTTTCATATAATGGTTTATTTGGTCGACCTTTTAATTGCACTTGAAAAGGAATTTCCGTTTTTAAACTTGGCATTTGACCTGGTTTAGCTAATTCAATTGTTTGATTAATTAATGTAACAGGCTATAGAATAAAACTTAAAAATTTAAACAAAAAAAAAGAAAAAGAAAAGAATCTATTTACTTTTGTTGAATTATAAAATGCTTCAAAAACACCAACACTTTTACCACTTAAATGTAATTGAACAGACCCATCAACTGTTATGATAATACCATTATGTTTGAATGACGTTGGTGTTGAAATAATAACTGTACCTTGAATAATATCCTTTAAAAAAAGAAACAAAATAAATGTTAAATTTATTTTGTTCTTTTCATGTTTACGTCTCATTCTATATTCTGGAGTTTAAAAATCTTGTTTACATAAATCAACTTTAAACTTATCAGATTTTTAGAAGATATAATTTTCCTTTAATTCTATGCACATTCCTATGTCACATGTTTGTTCGCACTACTGCCAATATAACGCACATTATACCGATCGGTCTACTGATGGTTTTTGTCCGGTTTGAATCATATAGATTTAAGCATGTAGTGGATTTCTTTTTTTTGATTTTAAATTTAATTTTATACAAATAAATTATAAACTTCTTATTTATATGCAAAACTATACAGTAACACGATTAAAATAATTTATGTTATTATTCTTCGTTCATTAAAAACATAAAAATAAAAAAGTAATTGATCATTGTAAATGAATTGATTTAATCAAAAGTTTGTTCATTTGAGCAAGAAAAAAACTTACATTCTCATTATATGTTTTTGTTTGTCGATTAAGACGAATATCAATTGAAGCAGACATTATTCTTAAAAAAAAATTTTAAGTAAGTGTGTAAAGAGTTCTATAGAGGAATGGTCAAAATTTAAGAACCATTGAATATAAAATTTCAACGACCTCTATACCAAATTTTTCAATAAAATTCTCAGTTTAAATAATACGAGAAAAAAAAACTTATTTTTCATAAAATTTTTCATAAAATTTAAATATTATATTCAAATAAAATAATAGTATTTTTCGTTACTAAGTAACGATAAGTGTAAAACTTTGCATAATGGTACAATCATCGAACGTAACATAATACACGAAAAATGTACTTTCGAGAAAAAAAAAGAACTCATATATTTTATTTTTTGTTTATTGAAGTTACATAAGAAAATATTTCTTATAGATTTTGTAAAAATCATGAACGGCAAAGGTGGTTCTCCACCACCACTATCTACTAATCGAAAGTCTAATAAAGTAGTTTTACCTCAAATTCAACGACATCCAGCTTATTTTGAAGATCCATACAAGAATTCTATATTATTTTCATTTAAACTTAAAGATAGACAAGATGAAATGCTCAAACGGATTGTGTAAATATATAAAATCTATTTATTCTATCATTAGAGAAAAAGAAAAAAAGAGAAATTCCATTCTTTTTCTTTATTGCTTTCAAGTTTTATGAATAATTAATTAATTATGTCAAATTTTATTTCATTTAGCCTTGATCATGCAAAACAACAAGAACAAACAGCACTTGAACCTTATGGTGGAAAACATCGACCACGAGAGAAATCTCCGGAATATCCAAAAACAGTTTGTTACCAATTTTTTTTTGTTCTGTAATAATGAATTATTATTCTTGGTTTTTAGTGTCTTAGCGAAGATCGTGCAGTTCGAGTAAATTTTTTATTTGATTGCAAAAAATAAGTCATTTTTTTGTTCTGTTGAAATAGACCAATTATTATTATATGAAAGAACGTGTTGCACATTTACCAATAACACCAGCCTCAGATGAATCATTTAAACATATTATTGATCGTTTTATTGATAAAAAATTAAAGGAAGGTCCACAAATGAAAAGTGTTATACAACGTATTGTTAATGAAACGAAAGTTTTGTATGAAAATAGTATGAAAAAAAGTCAATGTAAGGTTTATTTTTATTATATTAAAGATAAAAAAAAAAAGAAAAGAAAAGAAAAACTTCAAATATTTTTTGTTGCTTATAGTACAACATGTTCTTGTTGCACCAAATGTTAAAGGTCTTGAAAGTGAAATCGCCGGTCCACCACCTCCAGATCCTGTTGGATGCGGTAATTCAATATAAAAAAAAATGCATTATTTGTTAGAAAATCTTTCGTTATTTTCTTTTTGTTACGAATAGATTTTTCGAGTTCATGGGAAGAGAGTTTTCAAGCAAATCGTGATGCAATCAAAGAAAATCTTTATATTGTTCATCCAACTCATCGACAAGTACTTGAATTATGTAATAAAACACTTTCACCAAGAATTATGATCGATTTTAAACGAATTAGGTTTGTAAATTTCGAAAAATTTAATTTAAAACGAAATCATTATGAGATAGAGATGAAGAGGAAAATAGAAGGAACTTCAATCTTGAAGTCTCATAAAGTATGCTATTTCTCTCTTAAGTCCGTAGTTAATATGATCGATTAGACCAATAGATCTAAACATAAGGTAATTCTTACAGTCGAACAGTGTCTATTTTATCTATCGATTGAACTGTTCAGAGTAGAGATCTACAAGTTCGGCTTCTGGAATTGTGCTGTGCGAACAATTTATGTTCTGTTTGTTTTTTTTATAGATCATTGGGTGCATTAGATTTTCCTCATTTACGTTCATTTGTTGTACGTGATATCGAACGTAATGAAGATTATTTAAGTTCAAGTTGGTATCCACTTATATGTCAAATATTTCAAACGGGTCAAATTCAAGGCATAACATCAACACCAGAAAAAATGAATTCTTTTTATAATTCTATTAATACACTCGTTTCTAATCAAGTTTGTTTTTGTAATTTTATTCTTTCTTTTAATATCAATTTTTTTTTTCGTGCTATTTAGTTACGTGAACTTCTTGAACGAAGTATTGATATGTGGTGTTCATTATTTAATCCAAAAGATCAAGATTATCTTCCGATAATTAAAATTGATATTATTCTTAATGAAGATGAATCAACAATGAGTAAAATTGATTTTCAACCAAATATATCTGAATTTATAAATGTACTACGTTATGTTGTTGATAAAATTGCACATTCAATAAATGGACCTAATCGTATACGTATAGCAACAATACAATCATTTTTAAATGGTGATGATAGTATTCCACTTGATACACATTTATCACAAACAGTCATTGATCGAGCTTATAAACAATTAGCTGATATAGCTGAATATTATTTCCAAGAACCAAAACAATTATTAAATACATATGAAGAGAAATATAATTATTTAATTGATGGAAAAGCTCAAGCTGATGTAGAAAAATTTAATTCAGAAAATCATACATTTGATGAATATACTCAAGTAAATTTCAAAAATAAATTTGTTTTTATTTTTAAATTTATTTATAGGAATTTAATCGTTATAATGATATTGTTAAACAAATAATGCTTGAACCAACAACTGTAGAATTTCCATTAATTCAAACAAATAGTGAACAAGTTAAACAAGGTCTTGTTGAAGCTGCTCGTAAACATCGTAATACATTACTTGAAAAACTTGTTAATGATTATCGTAAAGAATGTCAAAAGTTTGTTTAATAATATAAATTTAATTATTTCAAAATATTTTTTTTTAAAGTATTTGTGCTGAATTTGAAGCAATTAAACAACGAGCTCTTTCTAAACCAGCAACAACTGCTGAACTTAATGATATTATTAAATATATTGATAATGCTAAAGGAGAAAAATCATTACATTTAACAGAACGAATAAAAGTTTGTTGTTGTTGATTTTATTCTATAGAGAAAAAAAAAGTTGTATTTTTGATTTCAGGAAGTTCAAAGACAAATGGAATATCTTCTAGATGAATATTTCTTTTCAGAAGAAGATATTCGTTTAAATGCTGATACTCTTTTATGGCCAAGAAATATTGGACCAATATTTGATACAAATGACGAAGTAATTTTCATTAGAAAAACAGAACTGTTTATGAGAGAAGAGAAAACTGTTTCAAAATTTATTCGTATCACATCTAAAATAATTTCTCAATATTCGTTGTTTAATTTATTTAGTCAACGACTAACACTTTTCTTCAGTCATCTCTTTTGAATTACGTTCTGATTGATGATTTATACGATAATTCGCTTAAAATCATAAAATATTTAATAATAGTCTTGAGTTTCGGTTGAAATAATCTTTTTCTCGTAATTTCGGTCGCGGTCTTAGGAACTTCTATCGCCTCGTCGCAGTCTCGGCAAGCACCCTCATACACTCTTGTTCTCAATATGTATCCAATATCAATGATGGCAGTATGAATAATACAAAAACTGTAAAAAACATTGATCAAATGTAGAAGTTATTTCTTTCTTCGGTCACCATGCCGTTACTTCTCTAGCTGAGTGACAGAACAAGACAATAGAGGCGCTTCTATTGCTTAGCTCTACGTGGTCTGTAGTGAAGTATTTAGCAAATAGGTACATTGTAGACTAGAATTTCTATTTAATATAGTCATAACTTCGAAAAGAAAATCTATGGGTATGAATTGATTGTAAAGAGAATCCAAAAAAGAAATCTAAATCTAAAATATAATTCCCATTATTTTATTTGTTAAAAACTTTTTTTTGTTTTGATTAGATTACTCAACAAATTCGAGGCAAAAATGAACAAGTTCTTATGGAAAAACGCGAACGTTTATTAGCTGATTTACAAAAAATGCAACGTCGAGTTGATGACTTTGCTGATAATGGTGAATTACCTATGATGGGTGATTATGTAGTAGAGGTTAAACTAGTTCAAAAGAAAATTGTTGAAGTTGAAAATGAAATTGAATGGATAAATCAAGTATAAAAATTTATTTTTTCTTATTTGTTTTAGTTTTATTTTTCTTCTTTTTTAAGGAAGAAGCTCAATTTCGAATGGCTAAAACAGATTATCCACAATTGGATGCAATAAAAACTGCTGTTGATCCATATTATCGTCTATTTACAACAGTTCGTAAATGGCAAGTTGCTGAAAAGAAATGGACGGATGGTTCATTTCTTGATTTAAATTCAGAAAAAGTTGAAGCTGAAGTTGAAGAATATTCACGTGAAATATTTAAAATTAAAAAACAATTTACAAATTTAGTCAAAAAGAAAAAACTCGAATTAGCAAATAAAGTTATGGAAAAACGTAAAGCACGAGGTATGTTATGTTTTTTCTTTTTTGTTATTAAAGCAAAAAAAAAGGACACGAATAAGCAAATAAATTATTGACGAGAATAAGAAATAGAAAAAAAATCAATCTACTAAACATGAGTTTAGGAAAAAAACGTATGGAAGACGAAACTACTGGTGAAACTTCTGGAAATGAACTAGAAGTTATTGATGAAGATGAACGAGAATTGGAAAAACTTGAAAAAAATGATCCCGGAATGTTGTGTGTTTGTACAGTTATACTTGATCAACTTGATAAATTTAAGGTTCGATTGTGTGTAACTTTGACTAAACTCAGAGTTTTTATTCTTAATGTGTGTGTTTTTTATAACCGGTTTTTTTTCTGTTTTGTTTTTGGCTTTTACTAATTTTGCACTCGTTTGATATTGTGTGAATATATATTAGATCCGCACAAAATTGCTGAACGAGAAGAGCTCCAGCAGCAAATGGAAAGCTATGGAGATCTTCTTTTTGTATTGCTTGATCAAGTGGAAACTGTAATACGTAATTTTAAGGTGTGTGTATATGTTTGTGTTTTTTCTAATCTTTTCTTTTTTAATTTCTTACATCAAATTAACATAATTTATAAAAGAATATATTTAATTTTTAAAGGAAAATTTACCTGTTATAAGTATATTATGTAATCCGGGTATTCGTGATCGTCATTGGGAGAAAATGTCAACTATATTTAAACGTAATCTTAAACCAGATACAGGTACAACACTTCGAAAAGTTTTACAACTTGGTTTGGAACCATATATGGAACAATTTGAACAAGTCAGCGCTGGAGCATCTAAAGTACGATTTAAATTATCAAGAATAAATGTTTTCATGAATTTTGTTTGTTTGTTTTGTATTAGGAATTTTCATTAGAAAAAGCTTTAAGAAAAATGCAAGATGATTGGGAACCTGTTATGTTTAATACAAGTAAATATAAAGAAACAGGTTTAACAATATTATCATCTGTTGATGATATTCAAACAATTCTTGATGATCATATTGTTAAAACACAAACAATGAAAGGAAGTCCATTTATTAAACCATTTGAAGAAGAAATTAAAGTAAGTTTTCAAATTCTAATGTTTGTTATATTGATAATATATTTTTACCAATTAACATTGAGTTATGATTGTTGATGAAATGAGATATAATTTTTGTTGCATATTTGTAATCAATCAAAATCGTGTCTGTGAAAAAGTTAATATTTTTTTTTTTGATGAGCTTGTATAACATTGTAGAACTTCTAAAAAATGGTTGTCAACTTGTTTCAGATTACTATATTTCTAATGTTTTCTTTTTTTTTAGGCTTGGGAAGCTAGACTTTTATTAATTCAAGCTATTATTGATGTTTGGCTTAAAGTTCAAGCAAATTGGCTGTATGTTATTTTCTTCTTTATATTTTTATCATTTTCTTTTTTAACATCTATATCTTTATTTTCAGATATTTAGATCCAATTTTTTCATCTGAAGATATCAAGTAAATATTTTTTTTTTCACAAAAAAAATATGCCTTCATATTTCTTTTCTAGTCAACAAATGCCAGAAGAAGGTCGTCTCTTTTCAACAGTCGATCGAAATTATAAAGATATAATGCGTCATCTTGATAAAGATCAACATGTATGTACTCTACATAAATCTAATCATTGTATTTTTCAAAAAACACGAGCTAAAAGAAGTATTGAAGTATATAGAGTAGAGACCTACACCCCGACAGATCATAACGAGCTGGATTGTTACCAGACATCCTTCTTTCTCCATACGGAGATTGTTCTAATAGTTACTTTTTTTTCTCAGGTCATGGCAGCAACTGGTCTATCTGGTTTATTAGATAAATTACATGATAGTCATAATTTACTTGAAAAAATTAATAAAGGTTTAAATGCATATCTTGAAAAGAAACGTTTATTTTTTCCACGTTTTTTCTTCTTATCAAATGATGAAATGCTTGAAATACTTTCTGAAACAAAAGATCCAACACGTGTACAACCACATTTAAAAAAACTTTTTGAAGGAATAGCTAAACTTGATTTTGATGCTAAAGTTGATATACATGCAATGATGTCAAGTGAAGGTGAAAAAATTAAATTTATACGTTCAATAAGTACATCAGAAACGAAAGGTGCTGTAGAAAAATGGCTTATACAAGTTGAAGATGTTATGCTTAAATCTATTCGACATGTTATTGAACAAGCTTATGTTGCTTATCCAAATGAATATCGTAGTGAATGGGTTACAAATTGGCCTGGACAAGTTGTTTTATGTGTTTCACAAATCTATTGGACAAGTGAAGTACAAGAAGCATTAGCAACTGGTGTTAAAGGACTTTCGTATGTTTTTTTTTTTGCTATAAAAGATTTTCTTTGATGTTTTTCTTTTTTGTTTTGTTTTGTAGAGAATATTTTTCAAAACTTGAAATACAATTAGGTGATATTGTTGAACTTGTACGTGGAAAATTAAATAAACAAACACGTATAACACTTGAAGCATTAGTTGTTATTGATGTACATGCAAAAGATACAGTTAAAGATTTAGTTAATAAACAAGTACAATCAGAAAATGATTTTAATTGGTTAGCACAATTACGATATTATTGGGAAGAATCTGATTGTCGAGTTCGAATAACAAATGCAGCAGTTAAATATTGTTATGAATATTTAGGAAATACACCACGGTATATTTATATATATATATATATATAGTTTAAAAACTAAAGAGAAATTTTATTTCGTATGTAGTCTTGTTATCACACCTTTAACAGATCGTTGTTATCGTACACTTGTTGGTGCTTTTCATTTAAATTTAAATGGTGCTCCAGAAGGACCAGCTGGAACAGGAAAAGTAAGTCAAAACATGTAACAAATAAATTCATAGTTTAAATTTATAGACTGAAACAACAAAAGATCTTGCTAAAGCTCTTGCAGTTCAATGTGTTGTTTTTAATTGTTCAGATACAATGGATTATAAAGGTATGGGTAAATTTTTTAAAGGTTTGGCTTCATCAGGTGCATGGGCATGTTTTGATGAGTAAGTTTTATATTATAGATATAATTAAAATAGTAGTCTTTTTGTTTTTGTTTTAAATAGATTCAATCGTATTGATCTTGAAGTATTATCTGTATGTATTTTTGATTCATTTTTTTTGAAAAATTCATGTAAAATGATTTTTTTATAATTTAGGTTATTGCGCAACAAATTCTACAAATTATTCAAGCTATTCAAGCTAAAGTTGAAAAATTTGATTTTGAAGGAACTGAAATTCGACTTAATGCAAATTGTTATGTTTGCATTACTATGGTAAAAATTTTTATTATTTGATTTGAAAATAGAAAAAGATAAGAAGATTTTTTCTTTTAGAATCCAGGTTATGCTGGTCGATCAGAATTACCTGATAATTTAAAAGTATTATTTCGTCCTGTAGCTATGATGGTTCCAGATTATGGTCTTATATCAGAAATTTCATTATATTCATATGGTTTTATGAAAGCTCGACCACTTTCAGTTAAAATTGTTACTGTTTATAAATTATGTTCAGGTAATTATAAAGAAAAATTCTATTTTTATTTTCGTTTTTTTTCTTTAAAGAACAATTGTCATCACAATATCACTATGATTATGGTATGCGTGCTGTCAAATCTGTTTTATGGGCAGCTGGTGCTTTAAAACAAAAATATCCAACTGAAGATGAAGATATTTTAGTACGTAGAAGGAAAAAAAGAAATATTTTCTTTTAGGTTTTTTTCTCGAAATTTTAGATTCTTCGAAGTATAATCGATGTTAATTTACCGAAATTTTTAGCACATGATATACCTTTATTTAATGGTATTATTAGTGATTTATTTCCTGGTATAACTTTACCTAAACCTGATTATGAAACTATTAATTCAAATATGATTGAAATATGTCAAAATAAAAATTTACAACCAACAGCAGCATTTATGACTAAAGTAACTCAAACATATGAAATGATGTTAGTTCGACATGGTTTTATGCTTGTTGGAGAACCATTTGCTGGTAAAAGTATGGTCTTACAAGTTTTAGCTGAAACATTATCATTAATGAATACAAAAGGCGTAGCTGATGAACTTAAAGTTCAATATAAAGTGATTAATCCAAAAGCTGTTACAATTGGACAATTATATGGAAATTTCGGTTTGTATTTCATAAAAAAACATTTACATTAAAAAAAAAAACTTAGTTTCGAGCTGAGAATCTTAAAAGGCTATGATCAACATTATTTCTAACCTTGTGAAATTCTAAACATAACTTGTTAAATCTACAAAATCGCATTACTTTTTTGAAAAATCTTTTTAATAAGAAGTAATGAAAATAGATTAATATTACAGAGAGGAATTTAGATAGAATAAAACAATCTTCCTACGATTAGTAACAGCAACTACATTGTGTTTTGCATTTAAATCCCACCGGAATTACGTTAATAGCTTTCTGTTTTTGTGTTTAGATTTGGTATCACATGAATGGAATGATGGTGTATTAGCTAATACATTTCGTGATTTTGCTATGACAGAAAATCCTGATAGAAAATGGGTTATTTTTGATGGACCTGTTGATGCTGTTTGGATTGAAAATATGAATACAGTATTAGATGATAATAAAAAATTATGTTTAACAAGTGGTGAAATTATTCAAATGTCAAATGTTATGTCAATGATTTTTGAAGTTATGGATTTATCACAAGCATCAGTATGTATTCGTAAAAAAAATACAATGAAATAAAATTTTATTTTTTTATTTGTTTTTTTAGCCAGCTACAGTTTCTCGTTGTGGTATGATTTATTTAGAACCACGTGTACTTGGTTGGAGACCATTAATTGAATCATGGATTCATGGTGAAATAGCTGAACCATTAAAAATGTATAAAAATGAAATTTTAGCACTTTTTGATTTTCTTGTTCCACAATGTATTGGTATGTATTAAAAAATTTTTTTTTATACATGAATTAAATGATTTATATTTTTTTTTGTTTTCTGTCTTAAATAGATCATGTTCGACATGTAACAAAAGAAGTTAATCCAACTGGTGATTCAAGTTTAGTTCGTAGTATGATGAATTGGACAAATATGTGTATGGGTGAAGCATTAAAAGATGAAGAAGAACCAGAAAAAAATAAAAATGTACGTTCATGGCTTATTTATACAATTCAATGGGCATGTATATGGTCAATTGGTGCAACAGGTGATACAGATAGTCGAATAAAATTTGATGCATTTTTTCGTGATTTATTACGTGGAAAATTTGAACCTATACCAGATTTATTTCAAGGTAAATTTGATTTACAATTACCAGAAAAAGGTCTTGTACATGATTATTATTTTGCTTATAAAAATCGTGGTGATTGGTTTCCATGGGAAAATTTAATGAGAGCAGCTGAAGGTGCTGCAACAATATCAATGAAAAATATTCGTCGTTATATTGTACCAACTGTTGATACAACAAGAGTAAATTATATGCTTGATCTTGTTATACCAAGTAAACGACCGATTTTATTTGTTGGACCAACTGGTACTGGAAAAAGTGCTTATGTACAAAATTATTTAATGAATAAAATCGATAAAGAACAATATATGGCATTCTTTATTAATTTCAGTGCACAAACTTCAAATAATCAAGTTCAGGTAGAAATTCAAAAAAAAATCGAATCGAAAGAAAGTATTGTTTGAACTTATAGAATTTGTAAATGAAAACGTATGCAGTGAAAATTTTTGTCATATCACTAACGCATAAGATTGTCCATATAGTTAAGAATACTGTACAAATTACTCTTCGTTGGACTATGATGATTATCAAATATACTTTCCTATGATGAAATATTTTTGATTTTGATTTATTAAATAATTTACAATACATTGACGAGAGTCTTTCATCCGAAAAAAAAATATTCTAAATATAAAATCGCACAAAGAAATCTATAATATCGATTCTTTGTAATTTGCTGATAATTTTTCAAGTCTTATCTTAAACGAAAACAGTTTCAATAGATACTGTTGAATTCGTTGTCCTAACTATTAAGAAACTGAATTAAAGTTTTTGCTTAGGATATAATTATGTCACGTCTTGATCGTCGTCGTAAAGGTACATTTGGTCCACCAATGATGAAAAAAGCAGTATTCTTTGTTGATGATATGAATATGCCACAAAAAGATAAATATGGTGCTCAAGGTCCAATTGAATTACTGCGTCAATTTATGGATCATCGACATTGGTAAGATTTTTCAAAAATAAAACCATTTTTTAACTTAAATTCTTGTCATTTAGGTATGATCGTAAGGATACAGCAAAAATAATTCTTGAAGATATTCAATTTGTTTCTGCAATGGGACCACCAGGTGGTGGTAGAAATGTTGTTACACCAAGATTTATTAGACATTTTATGACTATTGCCATTAATCCATTTAGTGATGAAACACTCACAAAAATATTTACAACACTTTTTTCAGTTTATATTAAAGTTCGTAATTAATATATTATTTCTTTTATTCAAATAAATCTATTATTGATTTATAGGGACAAGAATTTACTTCAGATTATTTAACAATTGGTAATCAAATAGTTCAATCAACTTTACAAGTTTATAATGCAGCTGCTGTTTCTCTTTTACCAACACCAGCTAAATCTCATTGTAAATAATATTGTTTTTTTTTTCAAACAAAAAAAGATTTTAAATCAATTTTTATAGATATTTTTAATTTACGTGATTTTTCACGTGTTATTCTTGGATGTTGTTTAATTCGTAAATCAGAAGTTGAATCAAAACGAACATTTATTCGGTAAGAAAAAGAAAATCATTTTTATTTTTTATTATTAATTAACAACAACAAAAACAATGTTTTATATTAAGATTATGGGTTCATGAAACAATGCGTGTTTTTTATGATCGTTTAATAGATGATAAAGATCGTACATGGCTTGTTGAGTAAATATTAACATAAAGTATTCAAGATTTCAATTATTATTTTTTCTTTTTAAGGGCGGTGAAGATTTGTGTCAAAGATATTTTTAAAGAAAGTTTCGATGCTGTGTTTGAACATTTAGCTAACAGTGGACGAGGTGGTGGAAAGGTAAAAATTATTAAACTTTTTGTCAGAGATGTCCATCGCAGCGGCAGCTGTGGCGGCGTCGATAGCCGCGATTGACATCTTGGTTTTCTATGGATAGATATTAATTTAATTTGTTGTTTCGTTTTTAATTTAAAGGTATCAGAAGAAGATTTACGTAGTTTATTATTTGGTGATTTTCTTCGTCCTGATCTTGATGTTGAAGAACGTTTTTATGAAGAAGTTAAAGTTATTGATACAATGTATTCAATTGTTGAAAAAGCTGTTGAAGAATATAATAGTACACATAAAACAAAAATGACTTTAGTTGTATTTCGTTATTTACTTGAACATTTATCACGTATTTGTCGTATATTACGTTTACCTGGTGGTAATGCATTATTAGTTGGTGTTGGTGGTAGTGGTAGACAATCATTAACAAGACTTGCTGCTGCTATGGCTAATTATGATGTACATCAACCTGAAATAACAAAAAATTATGGTGTTGTTGAATTTCGTGAAGATTGTAAAAAAGTTATGAAAATGGCTGGTGCACAAAATAAACCAACTGTTTTTCTTTTAACGGATTCACAAATAAAAGATGAACGATTTTTAGAAGATATTGATTCATTATTAAATACAGGTGAAGTACCAAATTTATTTGCTGCTGATGAACGCGGTGAAATTATGGAAGCTGTTGCTGGACAAGCAGCGGCTTCTCAAACAGATGGTGATAAAGGTGCAGATTTTGGTCCATTAGCATTATTTCAATTCTTTGTTAATCGTGTTCGAGATAATCTTCATATTGTACTTGCTTTTTCACCTATAGGTGATGCATTTCGATCACGTTTAAGACAATTTCCATCACTTATCAAGTAAGATAAAAAAAAAACAAATCAATATAATTTCAAGTTATGCTCTCATTTGAAGAAAGCTCATACTCTTCATTAATACATGAGTAATATACTCATTAAAAAAAAATCTTATATCGTTTTTCTCGAGTTATGTTTATTTTATTGAACTTTCAACCTATTGAAGATGAGAAAAATTTTGAATTCAAACGAAGATCATCAGTCAGATATGTTCTCTTGAATCTATACAATTTTTAAGTTTGACATTCAAACATAAATAATAAAAAAATTTATACGTTAAATCAAAATATGACTTGTCATTTCATATTTTACTGTTTTATTATTTTTTTTCTTTAGTTGTTGTACACTCGATTGGTTTCAAGCATGGCCTGAAGATGCTTTAGAACGTGTAGCTAAAAAATATTTAGAACAAGTTGATATTAATGAATCCGAAAAAGAAGCATGTGTTGATATAGTTAAATATTTTCATACAAGTACACAAAGATTATCAGAAAAATTTTATTCAAAATTACAACGATATAATTATGTAACACCAACATCTTATCTTCAAGCTATATCAGGTTTTAAAATGTTAATAACACAAAAACAAAATGAAATTATGGCAGCTAAAAAACGTTATGTTAAAGGTCTTGAACAATTAGCTTTTGCTGAAACACAGGTAAATGAAATTTTTCATTCGAAACAAGTTTTTTTTTTCGTTCGATTATTATTTAGGTTGGTAAAATGCGTACTGAACTTGAAGCATTACAACCACAATTACAAGAAAGTGCAAAACAAACAGCAGCTATGTTAGTTGATATTGAGATTCAATCACGTCAAGCTGGTGAAACACGTGAAGTTGTTGTTGCTGAAGAAGCTGTTGTTAATGCGAAAGCTATTGATGCTAATAAACTTAAAGTAATATTCGGATTTTTTTTTTTTTATATAATAATTATATAATATATTTTTATTAAATAGGAAGAATGTGAACATGATCTTTCGGCAGCTATGCCTGCTCTTGAAGCAGCTATAAATGCATTAGATACACTTAAACCAGCTGATATAACAGAAATTCGTACAATGCAACAACCACCAAGTACAGTACGAAAAGTTCTTGCATCAGTTTGTGTATTAACAAACCGACAACCTGATAGAAAACCTGATCCAAATAATCCTGGAAAGAAAATTATTGATTTTTGGGGTCCAGCAAAAAAAGCACTTGGTGAAATGGATTTTATTAATCAACTTAAAACATTTGATAAAGATCATATTCCATCTGAAGTTATGAAAAAATTACGTGACGAATATCTAACAGATGCTGATCTTGAACCAAAACGTGTTATGCAAGCATCAGTTGCTGCACATGGTTTAATATTATTTGTTCGTGCTATGGATGTTTATGATCGTATAGCAAAAGAAGTTGCACCTAAAAAAGTTAAACTTGAAGAAGTTGATAAAGAAGTACGAGAACTTGAAGCAACATTAGCAGAAAAACGTGCACAATTAGCACAAGTCGAGTATGTTATTTGTTTTATCAAGAAATATTAAATTTTTTTAATTTATTTATTAGAAATCGTTTACGTAAACTTCAGCAAGATCTTGATTCAGCACAAAAACGTAAAGAACAATTAGAATTTGAAGTTGATCTTTGTGCTAAAAAATTAGTTCGAGCTCAAAAATTAATTGGTGGTTTAGGTGGTGAAAAATCACGTTGGACAGCAGCAGCTGAAAATTTACAAAAAATTTATGATAATTTACTTGGTGATGTTTTAGTTTCATCAGGTGTTATTGGTTATTTAGGTGCATTTACAAGTGCATTTCGTGATGAAGCTACTCAGTAAATAATCTTTTCATTTCTATAAATGAACAAGTCTTACAAGGAAAGATCTCGAATGTTTAGTGAATTTTTCTTGTAGGGCAATAATTTTCAAGCAAAATCATACTTTTGAATTTTGTTCTGAAATTTTACTTACATAATTGCGCTGATTAAACTAGCTTGTAGAAAAAAATGTTTAGAATTTTCACATTAAGTTTCTCCAAGATATAAATTTTTTAAAACAAAAGCATTAATCTGTTCTATAAACAATAGTCTAATCAGTACTTTTATGTAAGATAGGTTTTAGGTCAAAATTCAAAAGTATAATTTCGCTTAAAAACTAAGGCCTTACACCGGACTCACCAGCGTGAATCATCACTCTAAAGTATTTGCTTATTCACTAGACTCTATCAACTGAATATAGTTCCAACTAAAAAGTGATTCATTACTAGCGAATCTTCCCTCGTTAGATAGTATTAACATTTCTGAACAGAACTTTCAGTCATTATTAAAGGCTTGAGTCACTCAAAAATAAGACTTACTTTAAAGGTCGATGAGTTCTAGTTCGAATATGCTGAAAATGTTCTCTGATCTGTCCGAACAAGTTTAACTGTAAAAAAAAATGTTACAATACAGAACTTGTGTGTCCGTATGAAACTTTTACAAATGTTTCTTAGATTCTTGATAAATTGTTTTAAGAATGTACGAAAAGAATTTTGAATTGTTTTTCTTCAGTATAGAATCAATTATGAATTTCTTTGTTTTTCATTTAGTTCTTGGATTACATTATGTAAAAAAAAGAAATTACCATGTTCCGATGCTGAAAAATATTCTCTAGCTGATACACTCGGTGAACCAATTAAAATTCAAGTAAAATTTTATTTTTTCTTATAATTTGTTCTTTTTTTTGTTTTCTTTATGTGTTTGTTTGTTTAGGCATGGAATATAAATGGTTTACCAAAAGATGCATTTTCAGTTGATAATGCTGTTACAATTCAAAATTCAAATCGTTGGCCATTAATGATTGATCCACAAAATCAAGCTAATCGTTGGATAAAAAATTCTCATGCACAACAAAATTTAAAAGTTGTTAAATTAACCGATAATGATTTTATGCGACAATTAGATAATTGTATACAATTAGGTTTACCATTATTAATTGAAAATGTTGGAGAAGATTTAGATCCATCACTTGAACCAATTTTACTTAAACAAGTATTTAAACAAGGTAAATATTAAAAAAAAAATGAATAAATAATTACAAAATGAATTCTTTTTTTTCTCTTTTTGAAATATTTAGGTGGTGTTGAAATGATACGTTTGGGTGATAAAGTTATTGAATATTCAAAAGATTTTAAATTATTTATAACAACAAAATTACGTAATCCACATTATTTACCAGGTTGAATTGATTATTTTATTGAAGAAGAAAAGAAAAAAAACCAAAATTTTTATTTTGTTGTTTTTTAGAAATATCTACTAAAGTTACTTTACTTAATTTTATGATTACATCTGAAGGTCTTCAAGATCAATTACTTGGTATTTAAAAAATAAATAAATAATAAATTAATATTTATTTGTATATTTTTCTTTAGGTATTGTTGTTGCTAAAGAACGTCCAGAATTAGAAGAAGAACGTCAAGCATTAATTATAACACAAGCTGAAAATCAACGTTCATTAAAAGAAGCTGAAGATAAAATTTTATATACACTTAGTTCATCCGAAGGAAATATTTTAGAAGATGAAGCTGCTATTCAAACATTAGATTCATCAAAATTAATTTCTGATGAAATATCAAAAAAACAAAAAGTTGCAGAAGAAACAGCTAAAAAAATTGAAGCATCTAGACAAGATTATAAACCAATTGCTGAATATTCAGCTATTCTATTCTTTTGTCTTAATGATTTACCAAATATTGATCCTAGTAAGATTTTTATTTCAATTAGAATCAATCTTATTTATATTATATAATAATCATTTAAATAGGAAAACGAATTTTATATTTGAATTAAGACACACTATGAGGAAGGATTCAAATTCCCCTTTTTTTAGCAAGACGCAACACTTTATAGCGGAGGCTCAAAACTATCTATAGCTAGAGCTCGCCCAATCCGGAACTAACCCAATGGATTCTACCTGCTAATAACTCTATTGTTATGTTTTCATATTTTATAATAAAGAAAGAGTTTTCTTCTACCGGATAGATTCACTTGCAATATATCCGATCCTTTGTGGTAGTTGATTTTTTGAGAATAAACATGTAAGCTGAATCTTTATGGTGATTAAGGAATGACAGATATTGATCGATATATTTCTATAATAATATATATTTTTTTTTTAGTGTACCAATATTCTTTACAATGGTTTATTAATCTATATATGAATTCAATCAATGATAGGTATTTAATATTATAATTTTAATTATTTTTTGTTTCTAGTGATAAATAATTTAAAATTTTAGTTTAAAATCAAAAATTCTTGCACGTCGTTTAAAAAATCTTCAAGAACATTTTACATATAATTTATATACAAATGTTTGTCGATCATTATTTGAAAAAGATAAATTACTTTTTTCATTTGTATTATGTACTAGTATAATGCTGTAAGTAAAAATATCTAACGCAAGAGAATGTTCTCAAGTGTTCGATTACACAAATTTGAAGCTCTCAATGGCATTAGCTCATTGTAAAAGTTTTACTGATTGCTATACTCAGATATCAGTATAAAGAAGAATGATTTCCTTTTTGTATCAGAAGGTTTTTTCTAATAGTATTCATATCTGAGAATAGAAAATTCAAAAATCGATGAAACTTTCACAATGAGCTGGTGTTATTAAGAGCTTCATTTGTGCACAGTTTCAAATTGAAACTCGAAATTCGATTTTCATGGTGACCTGAAGGGGACCACAGCTTTTTTTTAAAAATGTAGTAAAAATTCAATATCTCAAAAGCAATGGCTCACGAGGGAGCTACCCGAACCGATACCTGCTGTTTGAGTTCATATTGGGCAGGAGGGCTCAGTAAGACTTTAAAAAGTCCTAAAAGGATTCGTACCCATGGGCTTCCGAAGTTGAGTTACATCCGTTTTACTAAATTTTCGTTCCAGTTTTAGGTAAAAATGGTCGTCTCTCACAAAAATTGAGTTTATTCGAAAATTTAATATCTTAACAAAAAAACATTCTTTTTGGTTGAAAATTTCACGATATACCTGAAGTCATCAGATCTACCTATGGGTAAAACTTTAGGTCGAAATCCCATTATTAATGTTTTCGGTACAGCTCGATCGAAAATTCAGTAAAACGATTATAGCTTGGTTTCAAATACCCGCAGGCACGAAATTTTTTTAAGGATTTTTCTAGTCCTACTAAGACCTCCTTGTGAATCCAATATGAGCTCAAACGGTGGGTACCAGTTCAATTAGTTCTTTTGTGAGACTTTTATACCACTCATCATGGCCTCTCACCTGAATATAGTCTTGAATAAAAAGCGATCGGACACTTGAAAATGTTCCCTTGTAAGAAAATTAAAGTTTAATTTAAATATTAAAAAAAATATATATTTTAGTGCTCAAAAAGAAATGGATAAAGCTGAATACCTCTTCTTTCTAACAGGTGGTATTGGTTTAGAAAATAAACATAAAAATCCTGGTCAAGGTTGGCTCTCGGATAAATCTTGGGATGAATTATGTCGTTTATCAGATTTACCTAAATTTACTGGACTTCGGTAAGATAAATTCATCAATAACAAACAATTAAATTTCTAATTGTCGTGTTTTCTTATTTTTTTTTTGTTTTCAGTGAAAGTTTTGAATCAAATATTGAAATATTTAAATCGATCTATGATGCAAAAGATCCAATGACAGTTGAATTACCATCACCATGGAATGAAAAATTAGATCAATTTCAAAAAATGACTATTGTTCGTGTTATACGTCCTGATAAAGTTGTACAAATGGTTATTGAATTTGTTAAAAAAAATTTAGGACAAAAATTTGTTGAACCACCACCATTTGATTTAGCAAAAAGTTTTAGTGATTCACATGCATTAGCACCTATTGTTTTTATTTTATCACCTGGTGCTGATCCAATGGGTCAATTAGTTAAAATTGCTAAAGATAAAGGATTTTTTGAAAAAAAATTTCATTATATTTCACTTGGTCAAGGACAAGTTAGTTGTCATCTTTCGTATAAAATCTAAAAATTAATTTTTGTTTTTCAAAGGGTCCATTTGCTTCAGCAATGATACAACGAGCACAAAATGATGGGGGTTGGGTATGTTTACAAAATTGTCATTTAGCTGTTAGGTAAAAAAAGAAATTTTCTTCTTTTCTTTTTTTGTAAGTTTTTAATTAAATTTTCTTTTTGTATTTAGTTGGATGCAAACATTAGAAAAAATTTGTGAAGATTTTTCAGCAGAAAATACAAATTCAGAATTTCGACTATGGCTAACATCATATCCATCACCAAAGGTTATTTGAATTGTGTTCAAAAAAAAAAAATTTAATTATGTCTTCGTTTTTTTTTTCTTGGTTTAGTTTCCAGTAACAATTTTACAAAATGGTGTTAGTAAGTATCGAATAGATTTATTTTATATTGAATTAATATAAAAAAATTTCATAGAATTAACAAATGAACCACCAACAGGTCTTCGAATGAATATGTTACAATCATATTTAAATGCACCAATATGTGAACCGGCATTTTTTAATAAAGTTGATGAAGGAAAAGATGCTGTATGGGAAAGACTTTTATTTGGTCTTTGCTTTTTTCATGCACTTGCACAAGAAAGAAGAAAATTTGGGTATGAAAAAAAAATTGTTTCTTTTTTTTAAGTTGAAGATTAATTATAAAAATGAATTTGTTTTTTTTTTAGACCACAAGGATTTAATATTCCATATGGATTTAATGAGTCAGATTTGTTAATTTCTGTTCGACAACTTCAAGTATATTTTATTATTATAAATGAATATATGATTGTAGAATTTTTGTTTTTCTTTTAGATGTTTATTAATGAATATGCTGAAGTTCCATACGTGAGTATTTTATTAATTGAGAATAAAAAAGAGAAGTTTTTTCTATGATCATAAATGAGAAAATTTAATGAATAATCTTATAAAATAGTAATAATATAAGGTATTCAGTTGCAATCGCTTGTCGGTAACATAAGATGATCTCTTTCTTGTTTTCAAAAATTTATTAATTCAACTTTTTTTAAGTAGATATAAATCAGCATATGTTGACATAATTTGATCGTACTAAGTTGTTAACACAAAGACGATGAGACCTTATATCAACCATTGTTGCTGTCATCTAGTATATATTTTTTTTCTTGTAAGCTATTGGTTACAGGACCAGTATTAATATGAGCTAAACTTTTATGTAGATTATAACTTTCAGTATCACAGCATCATTACATGATATGACTCTACATGTATATGAAGTAGAATTGTGGGTTTAGAGACCCATACGTTTCCTATATTCGAAAACCGTTCAAAGTCCTGTGAAACCAAATAAATATTAGAATCCTCAAACTATTGTCGTTTGAGAAAGTTGGGAGTACTGCTGAAAGTTTAATCGTACAGAATATCAGATGTTCAATCTTATTATGGTATGAAACCACTGCGTTATTCATGGCGCTACACGAAGGATTCAGCAAGGTTTTGGATAGCTCATTTTTGTATAGTATTAGTTGAAACCTAATGCAATTTGCTATTTTCCTTTCACATATATACCCGATTTTAGGCTTCTATAAGCAAACACACATTTATCATCTTTACAAAGATCATGGATAGTTCATCTCCTTTTTATATGTGTCCCATAATTATTTATCATAACATCATTTTTTTCTGTCATTCTGTACATGAGTGATAGAACATATATATTGCTCATGGAATCAAAAATAAATGCCAAGTGTTCAGAATAAGGAAGTTTTCACATAATCTATTATCTTTCTTTCATTTAGGATGCTATTCGTTACATGGCTGGTGAATGTAACTACGGAGGCCGATAAGTGCTCTTTTCTTGTACAAAATCTCTTTATCTTTAATTTGTTTTTCTTTTATTTTTTTTACAGTAACTGATGATTGGGATCGTCGATGTTTAAGTACAATTCTTATTGATTTTTATAATCCACAAGTAGCTGAAATTCCTAAACATAAATTATCTCCAAGTGGTCTTTATTATGTACCACCTAAAGGTACATATGATGAATATGTTGAATTTATTAAAAATTTACCATTAACTCAACATCCTGAAGTATTTGGTATGCATGAAAATGTTGATATATCAAAAGATTTACAAGCAACAAGACTTTTATTTGATTCAATTCTTTTAACAATGGGTTCAACATCAGCTGAAGGTGGTGATACAGATAAAAAATTAAATGATATTGCTAATGATATACTTTCAAAAGTAAATATAACAATTCAATTTCTTTTTGTTTCAAAATATTTTTATTTAGTTACCAAATAATTTTAATTTGGAAGAAGCAATGAAAAAATATCCAACACAATATGATGAAAGTATGAATACAGTTTTAGTACAAGAAATGGAACGATTTAATAAGTAAGAAAATTCAGAAAAAAAAACGAATTTATTTTTTTTTTGTTTTGTTTTAAAGATTAATGAGTGTTATTCGAACAAGTTTACAAAATGTTATTAAAGCTATAAAAGGTTTAGTTGTTATGAATGTTGAATTAGAATCATTAACAAATAGTTTAATGATTGGTAAACAACCAGAAATGTGGATTAAACAATCATATCCATCATTAAAAAGTTTAGGATCATATTATAATGATTTATTAGAACGTATTAAATTTCTTCGAGTAAATTATTTTATTTAGATAATAGAAAAAAAAAACATTGTTTAAAAATTGAAAACTTTTCTTTTAGACATGGTATGACACAGGAAAACCTGCAGTTTATTGGATTTCAGGTTTCTATTTTACACAAGCATTTTTAACTGGTGTTAAACAAAATTTTGCAAGAAAATATACAATACCAATTGATTTATTAACCTTTGAATTTCAGGTATGAAATCAATTGAAAGAAAGATTTTCAAAATGAAGAAGTTCATATTCGTTTACTCCTTGACACTAAACCATAGGAATAGTTTATACAGGTGCTGATTATCAGATTGACATGGTAAAATTTGAGGGAAGCCATTTCACTGCGGAGATATAGCATGTGCTATTCGTCTTGAATAACAAAAAAAAATTACATTTTTTTTTGGGTGTTTTTACAGTTACGATGTTATTTTATCAGTATAAACCTGTATGTATCATGAATTCTTTGTTTTTGAAAAATAAGTCCTTTTAGTATATATGGTGAGACACTTACAAAATCGGCTATTTTCATATTGAAATCAGGTCTTTCATTTCCTGAATCGTATCGAAATCGTTAGTCTTGATTTTCTTTTTATAATATGGAATCGTTGGTTCCAGATCATTCATTCCTATCGTTAAGATCTCGCTCCAAACGGAATACCATAACAAAAGATGTAGGTTTCTATCTTTTATCGATAAGAAATCATTTAATAAACACTTGTGGAATGCTTTTTTAGCTGACTAGTAGTACTAACAAAATATTAGCGTGACGATCGTGTTATTTATAAGTTTATATTGAAAATAAAATAATTCTAGAAAAATCGTTTTTCATGTTACTCACAATGAATGGATTGAAAATAGCAGCGGCGCTAGAATTTTCGGCCAGAGAAGTTGAAGCTCATGTCGGGTCCGGATCCGAAAATTTTGGATCTAATGGACTCTAAGAGCAGAGCCTTCTTGTGAGCCAACCATTAACAACAACTTTAAAAATTTTCGGAACGAGGCTCAGCACTGCTACTAGTCAAAAATGACCCATCAGAGAATATGTGAATTCATTTTTGACTGACGTAGATTACAAAAAAAAAAGATTTTCCCATGTTTCACATTCCTTAGTGTTCGATCAATATAAGTTTTACTCATAATTTTCTCTTCTCGTATATGAACATAATCGAAAGTTTTTTTCTTCAGGTTTTAAAAATCACTAAAAGTGACACAGCTCCAAATGATGGTGCATATATTGGTGGTCTGTTTCTCGATGGTGCACGATGGAATCAAGAAACGTAATTTATTTAATTCTTTTTCTCTTTTTTTTTCTTGAATTCTTGTTTTATTTTTATTTAGTTGTTTACTTGATGAACAATTTCCGAAAATACTCTATGATCCAATACCAATCATTTGGGTAAAACCAGTTAAAACAAATGAATTAAATATTCAAGATACATATGAATGTCCAGTATATAAAACAAGTGAACGACGTGGTGTACTTTCAACAACAGGTCATTCAACAAATTTTGTTATGCCTGTTTATTTACCGACGAATCAACAACCACAACATTGGATAAAACGTGGTGTTGCATTACTTTGTCAACTTGATGATTAAAAAAAACTAAACTAAACTGAATAAGTTTCTTTTTTGTCGTATTGTTTATTCTTATATACATTTATTTTATTTTCTCTCTCTCTCTCTCTCTCAAGTAAGAATTGATTGTATTTTTTGCCACTATCATCACAGAATTAATCGACATTAACAAGAAGAAAAAAAAAATATTAGAATTAATGATGATTTTGAGTTTTCTTTTTTAATTTAATTGCTTCTAAAATTGGTTTTCGTTTTGATTGAAAACGATTTTGTACTTCACGTAATTCAATTTCCATTATTTCATCAAGTAATGCTAAACGTTGTTCAATTTGTTCAACAGAAAATTGTTCAATTGTCTAAAAATTAAAAAAAGAAATCGATAAAATTTTAATGTATATAATGAATTTACATACTCGTTGAAAATCATCACCATTTTTATTATACATTCGTACTTCTTGAGCAATTAATTTCATAAATTCTTCTTTACTTTTATCAGCTGTTGTTCGTTTTGAAGTTTGATTGGAATTTAAAAATGGAGATATTAAATTAGATGGTTGTTGTTTATTCGTTGTCTATAAAATTAAATCAGACATAAACTTAATGAAAGAATATATGAGAAATCGAATGATTCCTTTTGTTTAGGAAAAGGTTTTTGATAGAGTATCTCAGTTGTACAGGATGGAAGAATACTTCTATAGTTTTGGCTATCATGCGGTATGAAGTACTGCCTAGTGACGGATTCAGTAGCTCGGTATCTTCCCTAGAACTAATTCTAACTGTAGCTTTGGACAGGAGATCAGCCTGATGCTGAGTTCTTGCGCTCAATTGCTTGAGCTTCCGATATGCAATAACTAACTACAAGAGCAGGTGTATATCACAATGTAATCAGCATGCTATCGGACGGATCATTCGAGACAAACAGTCGCTAGCGACTTATCCAGGATAATTCCATGGTTGGTGGTACTGAGGTTTAAATACCGCACGTTGTGAATACATGTCGAACAACATAGCTGCCTAGGCACTGCGGTCTGTATCCGATGTTAAGATACTATTGGTACTAAATGTCTAACAAGGAAAGTTCTCCGACCAATTAATTGTTTTTGCGCCGGAACTATGTATACCTCGTAGACGACGCTAATAAGCGATGAATATTTTGAAAAGAGTTCGAGTTCTTAGATGTATGACTGTAGAGATAGTGTAGTTTCACGCGATATGTTTTAATTCAATGACTATAGTTCTTATCAGGAAAGCCGACTTCTGAATTTCGATTCGAAACTGTACAGAGATTGATCTTAACAAGAATAATTTATTGTGACAGTTTCAGATCTTTTCATTGTTTCTAAACTAAGATGGGTGATGATACACATATGTCTTTTCTGTTGCTTATATACACCGGCAGATTCGATGTTCGTATTCCAGGATAGAAGCAAATTGAAAGACTTGATATTTTCAAAATAAACTATTCTCATTAAAATCTATCTCTATACAAAGTTTCAAGCCAAAATTGTTTATTTTTATTTTTCTCTTGCTCAATGTTCATGCATGTTACATCCTGTGTTTCTTAAAATTACAGTTTTATTATATTTCAGTAAAAAATAGTTGACTTGATGTACCTTAAGTGTATCTTGTTGACTATCGGCATCATTTTCTGTTTCAGTTCCATTTTCATTAATAATCATCGTATCAGATGATTCCGATGATAATTCAATCATTGTATTACAACTACTTGATTGAGATGTATCTGTTTCTGTATCTTGTCGATTTGTATTTGTATTTATGAATGTTTGTTGTTGATGTTCAGGAACAATTGTTTCATCTGGATTATTATTATTTATTAATGTACCATCATTAGCAATAGGACGTTCAGTTAAAATACCATTATGAAATGTAGTTATTGTTGTTGAATTAGGGGGTATTGTAGATCGATTTCGTTCTTGAATTTCACGAACTTCATCAATCATTTGTTTTAAAACACTATTATCTTTAGCATTACGAATAAATTCATGCTAATAGCAAAGAAATATTTTATATAAAAGAAATAAAATTAATTAATTAATTACACTAAGTAATTCAGTTGCTGTTGAACGTGCATCAGGATTTTTTACAAGACATTTTGAAACAAAATCATTTAAAGCTGGTGTCCATCGTGACATATCTTTAAATGTTGGAGGTGGACGTGATGGAATCATAAAAATAGCCTTAACAAAAGTAAAAAAAAAATTTTTTTGTCCAATTGAAATTAATCAATTAATAACTTACACGCATTGGATGAATATCACTGTATGGTGGTTTTCCTTCAGCTATTTCAATAGTTGTAATACCTAAAAAACATTAATGAATAATGAAAAAACTTGTCAATTTAATCCTTTTGGAGTTAAAATATGGGACTCACATAGGTTCTTTAGCTTCATTATATTAATACGAAATACTTCAAGTGAAAAATCTCTAGCAGATTATAGTTGCTTTTTAAGGATAATCGGTTAGCAGGAAAATAATCTGTTTTATTTATTTTCTCATGCCGGGCAGAAAAGTTTTCTTTTTATATTGACGCTCAATTTTTTGCTTGTCTTGTTGCTTTTCATTTTAGTATTCCGTTTTGCTTAATTTAAAATAATTATTATTCTAATGATTGATTAAACTGGCAAATAAACATGTTGTATATATATACATTAAATCTATATCAGGTCTGAGCACACTACCCTCAATAAACTAAGAAGAACTGGTATTGATCATTTCCTAAAGTTATAATTTGATCAATTCACACTTTTTTTTTACGTAGATCATATGATGACTGTGGCAAATCGATGTATTAACTATCCATCATTCTTGACATTTTGAATAAAATTTTTATTTAGGCAAAAATTAAAAAAACTGTACCATTTCGAACACTCATAGACGTATTTCAGCCATTCAAATTTTGAGGAAAACTTTAGAATGTTCTAGAACAGTCTAACGAGAAAAAGTCTTCCGATTGATTAATCGCTTTTGAGTCGAGACTATGTGTATCATGTAGACTCTGATGAGCTATGAATATAATGAAAAGAGCTTTGGTTCTTAGGTGTATAAATGTGAAGATACTGCATTTTTACGGTTTTTCTTTAAACTTAATATCGTGGTCTCCTCAGGAGCATCAAAAAAATTTATTTTCAAATTTCGACTTGAAACTTTGCATAGAGACAGATTTTAACGAGAATAGTTTACTGTGAAAGTTTCAAGTCTTTTGATTTGCTTCTATCCTGAAATATGAATATCAAATCTTCCGGTATTTATGAGCAGTGTAAAAGACTAGCTTTTACCATAGCTGTATCTTATATAAAAACAACGAAATTATCTAAAACTTTCCTAATAAACTATTCTCGATGAGTTCAGTCTCTACAAAAAGTTTCAAGGCGAAATTCGAAAATGAGTTTTCCTAGTGTTCCTGAAAGGGACTACGGCATTAACTAAAAACTACCGTAAAAATGCAGTATCTCAGCAGCAATAGGCTCAGAGCTCGAATTCTTTTCAATGTATTCATAGTTCATTAGGATCTACATGAAGCACATAGTCTCGACTCAAAAGCAATTAATCAACTGGGAGACTTCCCTTGTAAGTCTTGCTATTAATGCTTTTCAGCACCTTTTTCCATTTCTAGAGAACTCTGGAAAAGGAGTCTGACACTTGTTTTTCTGAGCTGCTACGCAAACATACCCAATGATCGTTGACCTTTACTTCCTGTGCTAGAGTATAGTGTGAGAGACTAGAAAAATCTCGACTTAAACTTACATTCACTATTTCCTCCGAAAATAAACATGAGTTTCACAAAAAAAAAAATTTATACCTAAACTCCAAATATCTGCTAAAACACCATGTCCAATTTCTTGAATTACTTCTGGTGCCATCCTAATCAAATATGCTTCGAATATATATTTCAGGGCAAACATTCTCAATTCTTACCAAAACGGTGTTCCTAAATAAAACAAAAAGAAAGAAAATCTTTTTAACTACAAAAACAAAACAGTCATTTTATTGTAATTACCAATCATCGTATTTCGTTTTGCCATTGTATCCTATTTCAAAAAAAAATCAAAAGAAATCAATAATTATTCGCCTAAAACTTATTAAATTTACTGTTAATTGTCCAGCAACACCAAAATCTGCTAATTTAGCATGACCTTCATGTGTTAAAAGAATATTTCCTGCTTTAATATCTCGATGAATTTTACTACATAAATGTAAATATTCTAATCCTTTTAGTGTATATTTTAAAATAACAGCTATTTCTTCTTCATTTAACTAAATAAATAAAATACAAAAATTAATTTTATTCTTTTTGTTTTTTTTTTGTAAATAATTACTATTTTTCCTCGAAGTTTTATTATATCTGAAACTGAACCAGCTCCACAATATTCCATAACAATCTTTAACAAAACAAACAAGGCATAGAAAAATTTCTTTATCATTATTTCTTTTACCCATAAATCAGTATCTTTAAAATAACTTCCAAAATATTTAACTATATATGGTGAATCACATTGTTTCATTATTGAAATTTCTTTAACTATTTCTTGTAAATCACTTTCAACCGGTACTAAAAAATTAAATATGAATTAAATGAAATAGAACTAATTTTATTGCGTACTTTGTTTTATTGCTAAAAAATGTCCAGTTTCTCGATGTTTTGATTTAAATACATTTCCATATGATCTATATTTATTAAAACAACAACAAAAAAAAGAAGAACAATAATAATATTATTCATTAATTAAATTACCCTTTTCCAATTTTGCATACAATTTCGAAAACATTTTCCATATTTTGTGCAAGATTTTCATCTGTTAAACGTTCAAATATTTTCGCCATAATTTATTTTTATCTAAAATACAAAGATAATTTTGTATTTAATCTATTTTCTTACAAGTCCTCCAGCTTTATTTTTAAAATCAAGATAATGTTGATTAACAAATTTTGTATCAACAATGTCACTATATAATGGTAGAAAATAGATATAACCATTTTTTATAAAATTTTCATCAGGTAATTGTTCTAAATGTTGAATATTTTTTCTTATATATTTGACAAGTGTAACAAGACTTTCAAGACGAGTAGGTTGAAAATGACGAAAATGTCTCCATATAGCAGCAGCTAATACTGTATCATCATCCACAAGACCTTCATCTAATGCTATCATAAATGCATTCATTTCTGCACGTAATTCTTCCAATTGACTACGACGAACTTTGCCTTGACCAGGAAGAATTTGTTGAGCACGTAAATCAAGATCTGTCCACATAGTACGTGCTAATTGACGACGAAGAAATATACCAGTTGGACCTAAGAAAAAAGAAATAAAAATTGAATGTCAAAAATTTTAGTCATTCATAAATAAAAGGTCATCACAAACGAAAATATCAATTTTGTTTTGCATTGATTTCTATCAAAATAATAAAATTACGATTTGCTTTTAGAAATTTGACTTAGAGATGTAATTATCTACATTCTCCAATGATTTGATTCTTTCGAAAATAATTCATTGCTATTACGAACCTAAAATAACAAAAGTACATAAGTGCACTTTTTCTTCCTACAAAGATCTAGGAAACTGTGAATCTACGTTTTTGTGGATCCAGTCCTGAACTTTCTTTCACCAATATTTGGCATCTTTTGTGTACATGAACAAGTGAAGGATCAAGACTCTAACTATTTGTTTGGTTACTCTCAGAAAAAAGTCAACATACAGTTATTTATTGTTGTTTACTTTCTCATTACTTGAAATTAAAAGTTTTCACTTAATTGAAAAGAGAAATATGTTAACAAAAAAGGAAATTGAACAGTTAATTGATAAACAAAATTCGTCAAACTAATAGTAACACTATAATTTTCAGTTGTATTATGTAAACGAGATCAAGCAAGTAAAAAGCTACAGGATCAATGTTTTTGTGGATCTACATCCGGGTTTAGAAGGACTCACAGTTCCCTAAAATTCAACAAAACCTTTATTGTGCACTATTTCCTTTGTTTCAATTAATTATTTGTACTAACAGAATGATCGATCGAAACACAAAAGAAGAAAAAAACAAACTTCAATCATTATCATTCTTATCATATACCATATAGTTTCTTTTTCATAAACCTTCGAATTACTATTTGTTACTATTAATTAGTCATCCAATATAATAGGTAATATTATTTTCATAGAAAATTATACGAATAGAATTTGACAATCTAAAAATATATCTCATATCTTACCTAATTGAATATAACGAACAAGTAAAAACCAAATATGTAGAAATATAATTCTTCCAAATGATGCAAAAACATCTGGCATATCAAGTTCACGTTGTATACCATCAAAATCTACTGATGAAGCAATCATATAATATGATATAGCTGCTGCTTGATATAAAACTTTTTGTGGTTCACGTAATTCAGCTTGTAAACCAAATTTCATTTTAATACGTGACATTAAACTTGGTTCGTAAAGTACAGGAAGATTACTTGATGTTTGTACAGTACTTAAACCTGTACCAACAGGTCGAGCAGTTGTTTGATTTGCTTTTGGTGATGGTTGTGCTGATAGAAAACGTTGAAAAATAACATGACTACAACGTATATAATTTAGTTGTTTATAAAATGTAAATCTTAACATCTACAATAATTCATATTTTATTATTTTTTCTAATAATGACAAAAACAAAAAAAAAGCATTTATCATTACATATATATTCAGTTAAATGATTAATGCATGCTACACATAATGAAATGGAATAAAAATAATTAATTAATAAAAATCACTGTATTTATGACAAAGACTATGGTTTTAAATTGCCGTTGTTTATTGCATTTGTTTATGAATCGGATGGATTTATTAGTAATTATTTATGTATGGATATGATGCGATGTTGATTAGGAAGAAATGATTAAATTTTATATGATTTTAGTCGTTTTTTAAATTCATGTTGTTGAAATTTACTAGTCTAAGAATTAAAAATTTAATGTTTTTTTTGGTATAAACACTGAAGCATATCAATGAATACCATGCACTTATAAATAATTTTTCTTGGCCTTCTTTGAGACTTATTGTTTATTCATACTCTTTCTATAAAATAGAAATTTATTTTAATAAAACAAAACAAACATGTACTTGAAGATCTTTTAATTTTCGATCTTTTTCCTGACGTTTTTTACGTAAGAATTGTAATTCTTGATTAATTATTACATTAGCACTACGTGAATCTATGTGACGTAAAATCATTTTAGCTTCTTCTAAATATTGTTGATAACATTCTTCGATTGTATTTATTTCAGATGTTTTTATTGATACAATTGTTTCTTTTTCTATTAATTGCTTTTCTAAAGATGTATGCATGTATTTAGACAAAGAAAAGAAAATCTTAATATTTACCAGCATCATTTAATCATTTTTATAATTCATCAATCTGATTTTTTTGTTAGTATTAATTCTTCTTCATGATTTGTTATTACTCGATTAAGTGATTTTTTTTTTTTGAGATCAATTTTTTCAGTTTGTATTTTCTGATAATAGTGTTGTATTGTGAAGAATAGAATAATTGAAAAATCTGTTGAGTTACCAAAATTCATTTGTTAATTAATTATTATTCTCTTCTTTTTTACGTAATCTTAACATTTTATTTTCATGTTATAAACGAATAAAATGTTCTCTAAAACATATAAATAAAAAAAGAAATATGAGAATTTCATTATCAATCGATGTTTTATTGAAGTGAATTTGAGGGTTAAAAATAAGTTCAATCTGATATTTCACTTCTATTACAGTGTCCTGAACTCCGGTCGGGTGTCTGATATCTGAATCATGGATCTAAATGCAAACTTGCAGGGTCAGTTCGTGTTTCGAGTATGGTATCATATCCGGACCCAATCCGATAATCAATAAGATCTCGATGTTTCAAAATATTTTTACTTTTTCAAACTGCCATAAGAGTGTAAACTGATTCGATCATGATTGACCAATTTGTTGTATTTGAGAATAGATCAAAAACGTAGAAAAACGATATTGTTTTGCTAAACAAATTCGGTTTTAATGAAAATTCATCTACAGATGATGATAAAGAAATCTAATACATGAAGAAGAAAATGAATTATCAAAAAAGTGAACATGTATTATCGTAATCGAAAAAGTATTCATGTATGTATCGACAGTTATGATATTTGGCATCCACACCACGTTCTATTTCAAACATACTCGGACTCTTTTCTAGGTATTCATAACCTATTAGGATCTACATGATGCACATATTTCCGGTTCACAAGCAATTAATCAGTTGGAAGACTTCTCTCATGAGCCAAAAATTTTCTAGAGAAGAAAACATGGATTGGTTTACTTCAAAATCGATAATCTATGTATCGAGTTTCCTAGATTCAGCCCATTAGGAGCTCTGATCATGATCACCGCAAGAAAGAAAATGTAGTATAAATGAATATTTTTTATTTACTCTGCTTCTGCAACATTTTCAAATTCCTGTATACGTTCATTTAGTTGTTTTGTTTCTTGTATTAAATTAGATTTTTCATCTTGAAGTATAGATATCTTAAAAAGATTATCTGATTGTTTTAATTGATTTGTTTATATAAAACCTGCAAATGAAGTTCATGATAATGATCTTCCATTTCTCGTTTAGCTTTAACAATTTGATTAAGTTCTTCTAATGTACGTTTTTAACTAAAACAAAACCAATATAATCTTTTTATTATTAATTAAAACTTAATCAAAAAACATAATTTTACTTGATTTTCTATTTCAGTATATACTTGATTATGTTCTTGATTTTCTTCTATCATTAACAAAACATAAAAGAACATCATTTATATTTCAATTCAACAATTTTCTATTCCCTTCTTAAATAGCATTCATAAGAATAAGTTGAATCGACTTTTTCATTGACATAATATTTTCAATATAAAATTGTTTTCAATCACAACTAACAGTACAACCCAAAACAAGCTGTAAAAGACGACTAAGTTCAATTTCATCAATATTTTCAGCTATAATACTAAGAAAGTAAAAGATTATTGGCCATGTAATTAATTTTTTACCAATCATCTTCAAAGTAGGTATTTAAAAACCAACTAGAGATTGATTGAGTGTCTACAAATAATAGCATAAAATTAAGAATAATACTTAAGAATGAACTATACTTTAGAATAGTAATCCATTATATATTTTAGAATTGTATCTAGATTATTTGCCTAAAATTTATTTTAGATGAATAATTAAAATGAAAAATTTACGTTTTGTTTTTACCTTTATTTGATAATTATCTTCATTATTAGTAAGAATTTCTTGTAACCAAATATCATTAAAATGAGTAGAATAACTGGAAAAAATATTTTATAACAAAAATAAAGTAAAGAAATTGATAGCTAACATATTATTTCAACATATTTCAATGATAATTCCATCGAACAGAGCTCTAGCTCCATTTATTGTTCGGTTTAAACTTAATGTTTTCATCTTTGAATAAAAACTGGATTAAAATTATATTTGAAAAAATTCTTTGATATATCCATTTAATTAAACTATCACGCAAAATACATCGATCTATAATTGATTAAATGAAATTATCTGAAAATATCAAAGTTCATCTATCACATAATTCTCTTTTCTCGATTATATCTTATTTTTAATAAAAGAAAAAATGTTTATAACGAATTGTGTCCTTTTGTTTTGAATTAAATTAAAAATGGTCGTAGAGAATCTTGTGAAGAATCTGACGTAGTAGGATTTGCAAGTGTCATATTACCAAGAAGTGCTGAAAGAGAAAAGGAAAATATATTAAAAAAATTATTAGAATTTTCAAAAGAATTTTTATAGACTTGAATGTTTTCAATCATTAGAATAGCAAAAACTCAACACCCTAAATAGTTTAAATAATTCTAATCCGAGATTTCAGAATATAAAATCCGCATGCGCCGGTACACATTCTGTATTTCTCTGTATACAATTGTTTACGATCGTGCCTATTTAAACTGAGAAGTTGGAGAAGAACTGTTTTCTCTCTCTCTCTCACTCTAAAGATCCAAAAGTCGAATAATCTTAAACGTCTTTTAAAATAAAAATTTAATCACTAACAAGATTGACTTGCTGTTGTTGCTGTCGTTGCTTGAGATAAATTATCACCAAGATCAGCATTTGTAAGAGTCGATGTTGTTGTTATACCTCGACTTAATTCATCAAGCAAACCATTAAGACTTTCTGTATTTTCAACACTAAAATCTGCGATAGCATCATTTAAATATTGATTAAATTCTCTTAATAATGTTTCTTTTCGTTCAATATTTGTTCGTAAATCAGTTATACTTTCAAGTATTTGTTCTTCAGGTAATGTTCGATTAACTAATGCTTTTAATTGTAATAAATTACATTCGATTTCATTTGCTGATTCATATATACGACGAACATGTTGCTCAACAGAAGCTGAATTATGTTCAGATGTTGAAGTAGATGCTACAGCTGAACTTGAACCTGTACATGGATCTTGAAGAAGAAAGGCAATAAATGATTTAATTGATTCTTCAAAATTATTTAATAAATCATCAGATAAATTAATTGAAGACATCTGAAATAATACCAAAAAATAAAATAAAATAAAATATTCGATTCTCTTTGGTTTTTTTTCGCTCTCTTCCATCAAAATTCGCCAAAAGAATAGTACTTGTCTTTTTCTTTTCCATGATTGGTTAATATTACAATTGATTTTATCAAATGATTTTATTAACAAAATTGTTCTGTTTGTCGCTAGTATCTTAAATCCATAAAAATCTCCTATTGTGCAGGAAATATGACAGCAAGGCCAATATGGCGTCGTTGTCTTTACTAGTTTTCCGGATGTTTGATTTGACGTGTTATTGTTGTTTTTCAGGTTTATAGATTATTCTAATCAAAAAAAAACTTAATTAAGCAATGTTAGTAATATTAATGAATAAAAAATTTTACGATTAGTAAATCTATTGATTTTTTTTTAAGGGCATCTTCATATGAAAATCCACCCCGTGCAACACAATATCAATCAACAAAACGATTTGATAATCTTCAAGCTGATGTGAATCAGGTTTGTTCTTGTATTTATTGTTTTTCTCTGAATATATTAAATTAGCCTAACAAGATTGAACTTATTCATGACCCATAGTTTACATAGTTTGCTTTATGTAAATTTGTTTATGTATGCATGTCTTGTACAGGTCGTTGATGTTATGAAAGATAATCTTGATAAAGTATTGGAACGTGATGCCAAATTAAGTACACTTGAAAATCGTGCAGGTTAGTTTAATAAAAATTGATCTATATAATTTTAATGCTGCTCTTTATGTTTATGCTTATGATATGATTTTGTTTTTGTTTCTATTAATTTTCGCTACAAAAAAATTATTTTTCAGAAATTTTACAAACTGGTGCATCACAATTTACACAAAATGCTAGTAAATTAAAACGTAAATATTGGTGGAAAAATCTCAAAGTAAGTGATTCGATTTTCGATATTTGTTTGAAAACGATAATTAGAAAAATGAAAATAAATGTTAAGATTTGAGTAAGAGAATTTTTATTATTCAGACAAATTAATGCATGGATCGGAAATTTTTCTTTATACATCAAAAAGTTTAAAACGTAAAATGTTACGTGAAAATATAAAGGTAGACTTTTTTTCTTGTGATTGCTGTTGTTGTTAATTATTTATCAAAAAAAAAACAAAACTTCTTTTAAATAATTTGTTTTTATCTATTGATTTAGATGTGGATCATTCTGATTATTGTTATTGTAAGTAATGAATAAATATGCAATTTCTTTTTTGTATAAATTAATTTTTTATTTAGATCGTTCTAATCATTGTCATTGTTGGTAAGAAATATAAATAAAATAATTTCAAAAAAAATTCATATTTTTTACTATAGTTGCTATTACTCAATCGGTTAAAAGCAATAAAAATGGAAAATAAATTCAAGCCAAGTAAAAAAAATTTCTATGAGTTTTAATATTAAATTATTTAATTTATAATTTTCTTTTTTTCATTTTAGAATACTCTTTGTCACGGACACTATTTTATATCTATATGAATATATATATCGCACGTTGTTTGATTCTTGTATGCTTATTCTATTTATCTTCATTCCTTGCGCAACAGAAAAAAAAACAAAATCTATCCACGTTTGTCTGTTCTTCGTGATTTTTTTATGGTTCTTCTTCTTTGTTTGTTTATTTAATGCCGCGCTTTAAAACATTCTCTCATGTTCACATCCGTTGATATGATTTTATCTTTCATTCATTTACGTCATTTGTTTTTGTTTTGGATGTATTATGCGCACATACCTTTTTTTTGCGTTCTAAACTTAGTAGTTCTGTGCAAAAAAAAGAAAATCAATATCTATCAATAAGGGTAACATTTTACATTATGTCATCTTCATCGTTTGTCTCTCTTTCTTTTTTTTTTTTATTGAAAGATTTTTTTCTAGATTCTTTTTTTTTTGTATAATTATCTTGTTAAATTAAATTAATTAATAACATGTAAGTATTCGATTGAATATAGATAATTTCTTAGAAAATGAATATGATATTATTTTTATTTTTGTAGGACAACTAATGGTAGTGGCGTTCCACCAGCTGCTGCCGGTGGTGGTGGTTCGAAACGACTTGCTCAACAGCAAGCTCAAGTCGATGAAGTTGTTGATATCATGCGACAAAATGTTGATAAGGTGTTAGAACGTGACAAAAATTTGTCACTTCTTGATGATCGAGCTGGTAAATTTCTCTATTTTGTTTTCAATAAAAACAAATTTATGTAATAATTTTTTTGTTGTTAAGATAAATTACAACATAATGCAGCTCAATTTGAACAACATGCAGGCAAATTAAAACGAAAATATTGGTGGAAAAATATGAAGGTAAGGAAAGAAATGCTTTAACTCTTGCTTATGATAGAAAAACAAACAATAAACTCTAACGGGGATTATTAGATGATGATCATAATGGGAGTTGTGGGCATTATTTTTGCCATTGTGGTGATAGGTAAAAATTCTGTTGTTTTTTTTTGTTTATTTATTGCCCCTATTCAGTATTCGTCAAAAACTGCATGTTTAACTTCTGCTTTGATTATTTAGCGCCAAATACAGTTATGATTCAAAAAACAAAACAAAAAAAAAATTTTTTTTTACTTATTTAGCATGGATTGGATCGAAAGTTAAAGCAGTGGCACCTGTTCTTCCATCCGGTGGTGTAACAACAGCCATTCCATCGGCAAATAATGATTTACCAAAAGCACCCGGTGGTTTAGTGGATATCCCAGGTAGCGATAAACCATCAACAAAACGTC